GGGGCTCGAACTCACGGACCGCGAGATCGTGACCTGGCTGAAGTCGGACGCTTAACCGACTGCGCCACCCAGGCGCCCCAAGGGTACATAGCTTTTAAGAAGTTTTGCTGAGAGGATGGATCATGGATGTTTTTGTTATTTCTGTCTCTGTATTCCAACCATGAACATTTAATACCTACATAATACTACAATAATACATACTTTGCAGATAGCACCCCACTCTTTGGGAGAAGGAGAAACTCCTCAGTACAACGCAGAAGCCCTTCATCTCCCCTCCCTTGCTACCTCTCCAACCCCAGGCTCACTATTCTCCACAAGCACCAATCTGCTGTCTGCAGCAGTCTATATTTCATTCTCGCTAGCTGCCACCGCGTATATGACCTCCCACTCCTCTCAGCATCTGTAAGCCACCCCATCCTGCCCCACACACGGATTCGGTTACACACGAATCACCCACCCAGTTTCACCCACACGTCCGTCCCACAGATGCAGATAAAGCTCCTTTCCTGCTTTCTCCTTCCCCAGGCCCCTTAGAGAGGTAGGATAGGAAACTAGGGAAGAGAATTGGGCCTCAAAGTCAGGCGGGTGTGGGTTCCTTCCTGCATCTGCCACTTACTAGCTGTCTGACTTTGGGCAAGTCTCTTAACGGCTCGTGCCTCAGTCTTCTCATCTGTAAAATGAGGTTAGTAAAAAACACACCCTATCCGTTTTGCGATGCCTGAGCAGCAGCTACGGTGCCTCATTTTGCTTCACCGTTGCTCCCTGTTGAGCCACAACAGGTGAGGATTGAGATGCTTCAGAAATGTGACCCGGCACTGGGGGCCCCTCACATGACCCCGAGATACCAGAGGTGTCTCTCTCCCCGAACAAGGCACGTGCGGGCCGGGTGACCTGTCTTTCCAGTAGGCCCACACTCTGGATCTGTGATCACGCGCCCCCCACCCATAGCTGAGCCTGACGCGGCGGTGGCTCATGCGCCTTTCCGCCCCAGCCTCTAGCCACGGACCACACGTCCCATCCCTGCCGCCCGGCCCCGCCCCCTGCCCCGGGCGCGCCCCTCCAGTTTGCCGGCTCGGGTGTCGGAGGGGCCGCGCCCGCGGGCCGCGGGCGCGGATTGGCTGCGCCGCGGCGGCGGGCGGCCCGTGGGCGCACACACCCTCCCCGTGCAGCCAATGGGAGTGCGCGCGTCACTGATCGGGAGGCCCGCGAGCCGGCAGCGCCTCAATAAGCCACATTGTTGCACGAAACTCCGGAGCAGGAGTCCCGGGCCGCCGCTAGCGCCGCCGTGTCATCAAGCGAAGATCCGTGGGCAAGAGCAGCACGCGTGTTGAGCCGGAGAGGTCCGCTCGCTCAAGTGAGACCGGACTGAGATTCTTCCCAAGTTGAGCCTTTGGTGATTCTGTGGTGAAGTTAGCGCCTTGGCGGCGGGGCCACCCCGACACGTCGCCAGGAGTGATTTTTGGGCGCCTTCTGGGAATTCGGACTCCCAAAACCTGTTTCTGGAGACCCTAGACTCTCCCGCCAGGCGTGCCATCTCCTTCTTTTTGTGCCGCCCGGATTCACTGCTCCTGGCCGGGCCGCCAAGCCCGGATACAAAGCGGTCGGTTCGCGCTGCCCTCCGCCCCCGCACGCGCTCCAGCCTCGGTTTCCCAACTCGGCGCCGACGGGCCGCGGCAGGATGATCGCCTCACATCTGCTCGCCTACTTCTTCACGGAGCTCAACCATGACCAAGTGCAGAAGGTAGGCAAGCGCGTGCAGGGGCGGCTGGCTCGCTTCTGACAAAGTTGTGCGGTCCCCGGCCGGCCGCGGACTCTCAGTCTTGACCCTGCGGGGGACCGCTTCCACCCCATTCGGGGCCGTGGGTGCGGAAAAAGTCAGGGCTGCCGGGAAACTCCAGGGCGCGAGGAGCCACGTCCGCTAGGCACCGGCAGGCGTGTGCGCGCGTGCTAGGCGCCTGGGCTCGCGCTCCGCGCGGCTCTCCGCCTTCCTGACACCCTGCGCGCGCTCGCGCTTTTTTCTTTTCTTTTCTTTTTTTTTTTTTTTTTCCGCTGGAGGGGCGGGTCAGCCAGCACGTAGTCTGAGACTGCGGAGTCCACGTGGGTGGAGCCCCCCTTTGGCCGCCGGAGTTCCGGCGAGAGCACGTGTGGAGAATCTTGGCTGCGGTGGGGGAGGCTCCTCTGCCACGTGGGACTGTCAGGGGGCTCCCGCGCCGAACGAGCGCGTCTTGGGGACGTGCAGTTCCCCTCGGCGTTCCTCATGGCCTCGCGCAGGTGGGCTTGGGGAGAGGCCCCCTCCCCCGCCAGAGGGAGTTGGGACGGGGGCGAAGTAACTCCGTCCGCCGCACCCCCTCCCCGGAACTGAGGCGCCCGGAACTGAGGCCCCGCGATGGGCGTACATCCCCCACCGATCGGCCTCTGGACCGCCAGGCCTGGAGTGGCCGGGGCCCGCCTCCAAGAAGAGGGCCAACTTTGGTTGATACTTCTGGTGCTCCTAAAACTTGCTCGAGGAGGATCTCCCCCCCCCCCCCCCCCCACTTTTCCGTCTTTTTAAGAAAAGTTTTTGTTATGTAAACGAGCTTATTCCTGCCTTAGGCTCCGACAGGTCTGCCTACCTAGTTCCCGGCAGGTTCATATTCTCTCTCTTTTCTCTCTCTCTCTCTCTCTCTCTCTCTCTCTCTCTCTCTCTCTCTTCCCCCCGCCCCGGTCTCTCGCCAGGTCATTTCCATAAGAAAGAGCTTCTGGCCCCGCCGGGACCAAGCTCTAGGTGCTTCGGGATATGGGGTGGGGGTGGGGCCCGGCCCAAGGTGCAATCACTCTAGGGAGAATTGAGTTTCTGAAATCCTGGGGATTTCTGGATTGGCACCTGACCATGCACCTCAGCTAGGACTTGAGAAGAGGGGATGGGCTGAGGCGGAGGTAGGGGTGTCCAGACCTGTGAGGCAATGACAGCGTTGCTCAATTGCATACTTGAAGCTTCTGTGTCTTACAGGGAACACAATTTTGGGAGAATGTCTTGACATAAATTCGGTGCGGGGACCTGCTCTTACTCCCATTCTGGGTATTGTGAGAGCAAAGGTGGGCTGCCATTATGGTGCTTTCAGAGCAGAGACACATGAACCCCCATATAAAACATGGCCATACTCAGCCTCAGAATGGAGTAGCAAGCAGCGGGAGGCTGGTTTAGTTGAGTTTTACTCTGCTTATAAAACGGCTGTTGCTCCCTCATTCCTGGGATGTAGCTCTGCTCTGCACTTTAATGCAGTTTATTTAAGAATGTGTCTGTGAGCCGGCAGGATCTTGGCAACTTCTTTCGGCTTCTCTGCCCAAGAAGTGAGTTAACCCTTGGGGAAGACTCATCCCTTGGCAAATTCTAAAGCAGGAAGCTGGAGGATTATTAATCCAGGGGAGGTCTTCTCGGATGTGTGAATATCAGACCAGGACATTTTAATTCTTTTACAAATTGTCTCCTACTCCAGGGGAGGGAGGCTAAGACCTGAACCGTGTCATGGAATGGATTGGGGGCCATCTCTTTGGTCCCAGAGTGGAGAGATTACTAGCCAGGGTATCTGGAAATGAGTTCTAATCTCTGTTTTATGGTTTATTAACCTCAGGACCTGAGCAAGTCACTTTGCCTCTTTGGCCTGCTGATTTCTTTTTGTGTCTTCAGCAGGCTCCACGCTCAGTGCGGAGCCTGACATCATGACCTGAGCCAAAATAAAGAGTTGGAAGCTTTAACTGACTGAGCCATCCAGGTGCCCCTGGTTTCTCTTGGTAAAAGGGGAATGACAGCAGTGGTCCTGTCCACTTTATAGAGTTGTGATGATTAAGCACAGTAATGTAGAAATGTCTTTCTTGTAGGTTACTCTTATCTACACTCACAACCTCTTTTACCCTGTGAAGTATCTGGGGGGAGACAGGTGTATTTCCTCTAAATTACCAATGGGGGCAGAATAGAGTCAGGCCCTTAACTTACCAGGTGTCAGAACCTGGGGCTTGGCCTCCTGGCTTAGGTGAGCAAAGCTGTTTGATTCCAGCTGCAATTAGATAGAAGTAGGAAGAGAATCAGAATATTTTGGAAGCATCTTTTCAAGTTGCTGCTACAAGGATGAGTTAGGAAAGAAGGATGAAGCTTGAGTTTAATTTTAGAGTCTTTTGAAAAGGTCTTGATTTGGACTCTTCTGAAATCCCCATTATCTTACATATTCTGGGTGGTGGTCTGAGGCATGGAAAACATAGATTCACCTGCCCAGAACTGTCACCCGCCTCCAATTTGTATCCTGATGGACAAGCCCAATGTTTTGTACCATTAGGAGGAGAGTAAGCGTCGTTTGCTCACTTTTGCCGATTAATGCTTTGAAACTCAAGAGCAAATACTTATAGCATCTACTGTGTACCAGGCACTGGTTTAAGCTCTTTACATTTGTTAGCTTATTAACATTCATAACAACCTCACAAAGTAGATGCAGTTATTGACAGCATTCCTGTTTTATTGGTGAGGAACGAAGGCACAGTAACTTGTCCAGGGTCACTAGCTTTTTTGTAAAACGTGGGAATTAAAGCCATGCAGTTGGGCTCCAGAGTCCCATGCTCTTGACCACATTCACCTGCTTCTGGGAACAATATTGGACTTCATCCTAGCCTGTGTCTGCATTCACTCTTGGATGCTGGCAGCACCCTCACTTAGCATGCCCAGAAATGCAACTAGCTCTTCTCTTGGTTGCATTAATGGCACCAGTACCCTCTGGCCATTCTGGCTGGGAGCTTTGGACTCATTTCATTGACTTTCCTTTCTGATTGCTACACATTTGTCAACCGGTGTCTGGCTTACTTCAGAGGCCTCCTAGGGTTTCTCTGTTTCCACTCTCTTTCTGGAGCCAGACTGGAACATTTCAGAAGCCTTTTAACACCGCATGCTGAATGCCCCCTGACTCCTTCATATTCTGTATCTTCACTCCCCAAGGACTTGCCTGGCCATTCCTTTGAATGCCACACTCTTCACACTAGGGGCTTTTGCCTTATCATGGCATTTTTATCATCCCACTATGCATCAGAGTTGGTAGTTTTCAGTTCCAGTTCCTTCCTCAGGACAGGGAGAATCCTGGCTGTTCATCTTTGTAGCCACAGTTTCTGGCTACTGATGTACTCAATGAGTGTGAGGATGAGGGAGGGGACCTTCCTGGAGACAGCAGCTCAGCAAGGGCTGTGGGAAGGGGAGGAGGGTGAGAGGCAGATTGGGGGATGGCTAGTTCTGGGCTGAAGGGATGGGTGGATGGGGAGACATTAAGAGAGAAAGGCAGTGGGCTCTTCCTTCGTCAAGACCCAAGGTTGATCCTGAGAAAAGGTGGGGGGCTGGGGGGCACGGGGAAAAAGGCAGAGAGTGAGGGTGTTTCCTGTCTTCCAGCAATCAAGGCTTTATGCTCTGTCTGTGGAGAGATAGAGGATTCTTTTTATTAATTGCGGTATAATTAATATTCAAGATACAGGGTTTTTGCCGCTTGGGAATGAGAATCAGTTTTAACCATGGAAGTGAAATGAAGTGTGCATGCCTGCCTTTAGCCATTGGCCAAATTATTTAACATGCACAGACTGGTGACATATTTTCACTCCAGTTATGGCATATAGATAGCTCATTCGGGCTTCTTTCTGTGTGAGTGAAGGGTGGCTTTCAACTCTGGACTTAAGAGTGGGAGGAATATCTTGGAAGCAGAAAATTCAGCAGAGCCCCTAAGAGTCAAGGTAGACGAGAGTTTTAATGTTTTCTGAGAACTTATTGTGGGTACCAAGCCCTCTGGCTACTACGTGGGAAACTGAAACTAAGACCCCTTTCACTTGTCTGGTGAGATAAGTTAGTAGTGAAGAGAGGGTGCCTTACCATGGGGTGAGGAGTTAGAGACCTCCAGAGAACCTTGATGGGTATGCCTTGAGCACCTGCTATGTGCCACTAATCTTCAGATAAGGGGTTAAAATACCAGGAGTTCAGTACTGATCACAACCTTACTGAGATTAGTTTTGGCTGAGTTAACTGACATTGACCGGTACAGTTTTGCGTTTGTTCAGCTTGTATGTACTACTTAGCATCCTAATAACGTCTCTTCCCTGCTCAGGAGCAGTTGATGGTGGTAGGAATATTTTGTAACTTTTGCTAATCATCCATTTTTTTTGTATCACCAAATTTCTATTTCAGAGAGCTCCGGGAAGCACTTTTCTTTACCATTGAACTAATTAAAATTCCCTTTGAGGCTCCTCAGATAAAGCCAACTTTTTTTTTTTTTTTTTTTTTTTTTTAAACATCACTTTTCAAAGTTGAACTTTTCCAGCACTGTGAGGAGGGAGGGTGAGGGCAGTTAGGGGCCCTTTTCCAAGGGGAATCAAAACAATACAAACTGCAACAGTTTTCTCAAAATCTGGCAGCCAGAGTAAGGAGATCTGATGTACTAAAAGACCTCAGGAACCCCAGAAAACTGGCTTCCTTTGTTCAGATACTTCTTTAAAAGACGACTCTAGATAATGGGTTCCTCATTATCATTGTTGAGTTTTGCAGTCAGCAAGTTTGGTTTGTTTTCCAACACTGTGTGTTGTCTGTCTTTTCCTTTCCAAAGCAGTGGGGGTCTGGGGGTTGAACAGATCAGATCCCAGAGTTCATTGGCTGAGTCTTAATATCGCACACCACAGATCACAGGCTATGCTTTCTTGTACTGGAGTGGTTGTTTCTGCTTGCTTCTCAAGCAGGTCTTTCAACTG